TAGTCTGTAAATATTGTCCTACTTTCTTTTCAGGGCTGAACAGAATTAATTAATTATTTATTATATACTTTGTCTTTAATTATTTTTCCACTTGCCTTTTGGGGCTTCCATAGAAATGGACCGTGAACAATGATGAGTTTCCTTGTCTAAGGTTTGCTGGTGAAGACTGTCAGTCATCCAGGTCAGAGTCAATTCCAAAAAAGTTAGAAAACAATCCACTGGACTGGACACGTTTCTCTTCCCATCCAGGATGGGAAGAGAAACGTGTTTTCTAAACTAAAACAAGGTTTTGTTCAGCTCCTGTATAAAACCTGGAACTAAACGCTATTTCTGACATTTTGAATTGAAAAAACTTCCTGGATGGAAGAGAAACGTCTTCAAGTTTGGAAACAAAGTCCAGTGGATATTTCTTTTGGAACTTCTCTAAGGTTTGGTTTATCCTCTGAGATCAATGGAAGGGACTGAGTAGAGCTCCTGCTCCTCGATGTCGACAGGAGGAGAAGAAAGCACCTGGAGGCACCTTAAGCTTCTGCAGACTGAGGTGGAAAACCTTTTATCTGTGAGCCTTCCAGGCCACGGTTTGAATGCATAACAGGCTTAACTTTTATTACCCTAACCCTATGTAAAGTAAAAAAGGAAAAATGGAAATATACCAATAGTAGTTTGCATAATTTTTTATCTTTACAGAATTACATTCTGTACCCTTAAAGAGAATTTGTAGTTTATGTTCCAGACTTCTGTGTTGTTTTCTATAAACTAGCATCAGTCAGTCAATATGGTATAATGCTACGTTCAGAGCGCACACAGCTGAAGCGGAAAAAACGCGCGTGCTGCTTCATTTTTGATGTTTGTCCCAGTTTAGTTCTTACGCGCGGCTGAAGCATCTTTGCTGCTCTAGCTGCGTCTGCGGTAAAGCGTTCTGATGCGCTTTGGGCGGAGCTACCCTATCCTTTCTTTGCCTGGAACAATGGCAGCTATATTTGCTGTGATCAGTGGGTAACAAGTAGTTTGAATCTATGTTGAAGTGAGAAAGTCCTCCTGAAAACTGCTCTGACAGCCGCTCAGACCCCCACATACCGGCGCCGCGCTGTCACTGGGAATCCCCAGCAGCAGATGCCTCAGGCCCGCTCGCCTCTTCTTGGTTTTCCGCAACTCGTAAAAATTCAAAAAATATCCACTGGACTTTCTCTTGAGAAAGCTTCCTGGAGAGGCGGCGAAACGTCTTAAAATCTTGAAAACCAAGTCCAGTGGATATTTTTTGAATTTTTACGGAATGACTATGACCTGGATGACTGAGAACCTTCATCAGCATATTTTCCGCAACTATTTGCGGCGGCTGGAAGGCGTTTTTCATGTACGTAATCCAAAATGCAGAAACCAGACTAATAAAAGCAAGCATGTTTTGTTGGCAGGTTTCTACATTTTAAGTTAATTCAGGAGTTAATAAACAGTTTCAGAGAAGTGATCATAGCGCTCTGCATCAGCAGTGCTGTGTCTGACTCCCTGCCAGCTCCAAAATTGATGTGATGCGTCCAGCAGCAAAAGTTATATTTTTCCAACTCCAGCATCTGTTGCTTGTGAAGCGCCTCACACACCTCAGCAGCAGAAGAGGCGCTGCTCCAGCTGCACTGCAGGATCTTTTTCTGCACCTCGATGTGCGTTAACCATTGACTTTACAGTGAAACTAGCTGAAGCTGCTAGTTTCCATGTAAAGTCAATGGTTAACGCACATCAAGGTACTAAATATACAAGCGTAATACTAAATATACTAGTTTTTTCCCCCAATTTTTACTTTATTCATTTATTTGTCATTTTTCTGCAGCCCTCATTGTTTTTATAGTTGGAGGTTTAATGCTGTTTCCATTAGACGGCTGCGGTTTCCCAGCAGCGCCAGCAGGAGGCGGCATTGCATTTCTGTGACTCCAGCAGCCACTGCCGATGGTGCTGATGGTGAGCATCAGAGGCTCCTCGTTAGAGCGTCTGTTTGGCCCTGAGGAGGCGTCACAAGGAGGCCGCCGTAAAGCATCGTTTTATTTTAAATGTTGCTGCCTGTGTAATTGATAGCGAGCAGAAACAGTTTGTGACTGCGGAGGCGATCGTTGCTGATGTTCTGCTGAATGTCACGCCGCGCCGCTCTCAAACATCGATTTCTCAACCCCTAAAAGTTCCTCTTCTTCCGGGAGGTCTTAGATTTTTAACAAGCTGCATCTTCTTCACACCTAACCCCCCCCCCCCAGAGGAACATCTGAGGCAAAAATTATTTTAGACTAGATTTTAACAGACTTCAGATCCGACTGAATCTCATCGGTGTTTGGATACGAGCAGAGAGATGACGGGCAGGGAACATAAAAGCCTGATTGCGTGTTTTTCTCTTTCACGGGGTCCACCAGACATCAACAGGGAGCTGCCCCCCCCCCCTGGATCCACCTGTGGTCGATATTTCAATACTAACGAGAAAATCTATTTTTCTGTGCCGCTTTAAAGACGTGGTCGTAAATAACCGGGAAATAAGACTCCGAGGGATCAATTACACAGAGTGACCAATCACGGGGGGTGGGGGGTCTGGACCGCAGCAGGAAACTAAAACATCTTCAGTCATTTACAGACACTCAGCCCCTGATCACTCATTCTGCCTCCGTTATCGTCCACCTGAAGGAAATAATAGTCAAATAAAACTCGCCCATTTCACAGAGGGCCCCTGAGGGCCCCAGACCTCATTCTGGGAGCAGTCAGTCAGGCCCTGCGTTTACAGGCTGCGGTAATGATGCTTGTCTGCCTCAGCCGTCTGTAAATCACCCTGACATTAGAGCGGCTACAGAGCCGATAACCAGCCTGAGGAGGAAACCGTTTTCAGCCACGGCGGCCATCTTTTACAGGGCAAAGTGGAGGAGGCCGTTTTCAGCCACGGCGGCCATCTTTAACAGGGCAAAGCGGAGGAAGCCGTTTTCAGCCACGGCGGCCATCTTTAACAGGGCAAAGCGGAGGAAGCCGTTTTCAGCCACGGCGGCCATCTTAAACAGGGCAAAGCGGAGGAGGCCGTTTTCAGCCACGGCGGCCATCTTTTACAGGGCAAAGTGGAGGAGGCCGTTTTCAGCCACGGCGGCCATCTTAAACAGGGCAAAGCGGAGGAGGCCGTTTTCAGCCACGGCGGCCATCTTTTACAGGGCAAAGTGGAGGAGGCCGTTTTCAGCCACGGCGGCCATCTTTAACAGGACAAAGTGGAGGAAGCCGTTTTCCGCCAAGGCGGCCATCTTTAACAGGGCAAAGTGGAGGAAACCGTTTTCAGCCACAGCGGCCATCTTTAACAGGGCAAAGCGGAGGAAGCCGTTTTCAGCCATGGCGGCCATCTTTAACAGGACAAAGTGGAGGAAGCCGTTTTCAGCCACGGCGGCCATCTTTAACAGGGCAAAGCGGAGGAAGCAGTTTTCAGCCACGGCGGCCATCTTTTACAGGGCAAAGCGGAGGAGGCCGTTTTCAGCCACGGCGGCCATCTTTAACAGGGCAAAGCGGAGGAGGCCGTTTTCAGCCACGGCGGCCATCTTTAACAGGGCAAAGCGGAGGAAGCAGTTTTCAGCCACGGCAGCCATCTTTTACAGGGCAAAGCGGAGGAAGCAGTTTTCAGCCACGGCGGCCATCTTTTACAGGGCAAAGTGGAGGAGGTCGTTTTCAGCCACGGCGGCCATCTTTTACAGGGCAAAGCGGAGGAAGCAGTTTTCAGCCACGGCGGCCATCTTTTACAGGGCAAAGCGGAGGAAGCAGTTTTCAGCCACGGCGGCCATCTTTTACAGGGCAAAGCGGAGGAGGCCGTTTTCAGCCACGGCGGCCATCTTTTACAGGGCAAAGCGGAGGAGGCCGTTTTCAGCCACGGCGGCCATCTTTAACAGGGCAAAGCGGAGGAGGCCGTTTTCAGCCACGGCGGCCATCTTTAACAGGGCAAAGCGGAGGAGGCCGTTTTCAGCCACGGCGGCCATCTTTAACAGGGCAAAGCGGAGGAAGCCGTTTTCAGCCACGGCGGCCATCTTTTACAGGGCAAAGCGGAGGAGGCCGTTTTCAGCATAGATATGGTTTTCAGCCACAGCGGCCATCTTTTACAGGGCAAAGTGGAGGAGGTCGTTTTCAGCCACGGCGGCCATCTTTTACAGGGCAAAGTGGAGGAAGCCGTTTTCAGCCACGGCGGCCATCTTTTACAGGGCAAAGCGGAGGAGGCCGTTTTCAGCCACGGCGGCCATCTTTTACAGGGCAAAGTGGAGGAGGCCGGCAGATTTCTGCATTTTAAGTTAATTTAGGTGTCAATAAACTGTTTAAGAGGAGTGATCATCAGCGCTGTGTCACTCTCCCTGCGTCAGATGCTTAAACGCGCCCGACACGCTGCTTCAGCTGCTCAGACGTGCTGCGCCTGCTGCTCAAAACGCGGCGCGGGACCTTTTGCTGCGCCTTGACGCGCGTCAACCATTGACTATGCATGTAAACTCGCTGCTTCTGTCGCGCCAGCTACGTCCAGTGTGAACGCAGCATTAGTCATTCGTTGCGTTCGCCTGTCTGCTAAGCTCAAAACAACCGCGCCTGGCTTGATGGAGAAACCAGGAGAACAGCTGTGCATATTTACGACAGTGCACTTTTACTTTCGCCCTCTGGGGGGAGCCTCGCTGGAAAATCAACACCGGTTGCATAGTGTACCTTTAATCTACCCAGCCAATTAACCAGGTGAGTCCAATCTGCACAGGTTAATTCACGGTGAAGATTGGACTCACCTGCTTCAGTGGCTGGGTAGAACAAATACATGACATGGAGATGACTTGTTGACTCCACATTGCCCATGTCTGCTGATTATTAAGTTACTGGTGAAGCTGTTAGCATCCAGCAGATCTAAAGAAGGCATCTGACTAACTGGTCCTTCTGAGCTCGGACAGCAGGGGGCAGCATCAGCTGCAACAAACCGCATCTGTTCCTCTTTGAGGCTGTTAGTGGAGCAATGGAAGACTGGTAGAAACCAGGGAGTCTCATTACTGACCCAGAATCACTTTTATTAAAAATACTGATCAATTACAGGCAGAAATGAAACGAAAAGCTTAAAATAATGAAGAAAGGTTTGGATCCGACTGGAAGGAGTTCTGAAGCATCTGGAGACGCGCGGTGGTGAATCGGACCTTCAGAGACGAGCTGAACCGGGCTTCTCTTGGTACAGTTCCTAGCTTCCAGCAGTTGTTCGGACCGGTTCTGTTCTGATCCGTGTTTCCATTCAGACGAGCCGGTCCTTTGGTTCTGGCCGTGAATCGGGTCGGTCTATGAAGACAGTTGGCGTTCAGACGGTAAACAGGAAGCAGCCTGCAAACAGACTGACTGATTCTGATGCTGACTGGGCCTCCTTTAACACTGGGAGGAGGAGGAGTTGATCAGAGTGATGAAGAGTTCGGTTTTTTTAATAAAAAAAAAAAGAAAAACAACGATCAGTTCTGAGCGATTTGAGCCCAAACCCAGGAACATGATCAGAACAGGTCTGAGCCGGTGCGGGCCGGCGGGCGTCACTGCCCCGGGCAGAAGGGGCAGGAGTTGTTCTGGCTGGACTGCAGCCACATCTGGATGCAGTCTGAGTGGATGGTGTGGGAGCAGCTCAGCGGGTGCCGGTTCTCCGGGTCCACATACTTCTGGCACATCAGGCAGAGTTTCCGGGTCTCCGGTGGAGCGGCTCTCTGCTGGGGGGGCGCGGGACGCTGGATGGGTCCCGGAGGGGGCCGGCCGGCGGGCCCCGGTGCCAAGCGCTCGTTCTGGCTCAGCTTGAAGGCGATCTGCTCGTACAGGTCCTCGATGGACATGCCCGCCAGCTTCCCACAGGAGCTCTTCACCTGCTGCAGCAGAACCATCAGCTGCTGCTTGCTGCACTGGGGGAACCGCGCCCCCAGCTTCTCCAGGATCTTCTCCAGCTTCTCTGGAGCCGAGGGGGCGGGAGGAGGGGGGGAGGGAACCACCGGGGGGGACGGGGACAGGCTGGGAGGGGGGGTGGCCCTGGGCGGCGGCCGGCTGTGGTACTGATGCTGCGGCTGGAAATGGGCCGGATGCTGCAGATGTGGAGCCGGGTAGAACATGTGGGGAGGAGGGGGGTGGAAGGGCCCGCGGTACCCGGGGTGGCGGGGGAGGGGGTGTCTGTGGCGCGGGGCATAGAAGTGGGGGAGGGGCGGCGTCACCATCCGGGCCTGGGCCGCCGACTGCATGACCTGATTGAAGCGGAGGTCCGCCTGCAGAGACAGAGAGCCTTCCGTTAAGCAGGAGTAGACTGAAACGGCGCCGTCTGGGGGTCGGACCCGTCCTCACCATGGGCACCGCCGGCAGGGATGGTACGTTGATCCGGGGGAGGGACTCCATCTCCCGACCCTGCTGCAGCTGCTGCAGAACCTCCTGGAAGCGGCTCTGCAGCTCCGCTTGGTTCTTCCGGACCAAACCTTCCTTCTTCTCCCACTTCCCCTTATCCTGGTGGTACTGCTGAGGGAACTCAACCCGCAGAACGTTCAGGTACTGAGCCACCTGGAGGGGGAGGAGCCAGAAACATTTATTCCCACTGGAGACCTGGCGCCCTGACTGACAGATTACTGCTAAAAGCTAACCCCCTACAGCTAACTGTGAAAAGCTAACCCCAATAGAAAACTGTTAGCCACCACAGCAACATGCTAAAAGCTAACCCCAACAGAAAACCATTAGCGTTGTGGCTAACTCCAACAGCTACCTGCTAAAAGCTAACCCCTAACAGAAAACATTAGCCACCACAGCTAATCCCCTACAGCTACCTGCTAAATGCTAAACCATAACAGAAAACATTAGCCACCACAGCTAATCCCCTACAGCTACCTGCTAAATGCTAAACCATAACAGAAAACATTAGCCACCACAGCTAATCCCCTACAGCTACCTGCTAAATGCTAAACCATAACAGAAAACATTAGCCACCACAGCTAATCCCCTACAGCTACCTGCTAAATGCTAAACCATAACAGAAAACATTAGCCACCACAGCTAACTACTATAGCTACCTGCTAAAACCTAATCCCTAGGACAAAACCATTAGCCACCACAGCTAACCCCTACAGCAACATGCTAAAAGCAAACCCCAAACAGAAAACCGTTTGTGTTGTGGCTAATTCCTACAGCTAACTGCTAAAAGTTAACCCCTTACAGGAAATCATTAGTCACCACCGCTAACCCCCTACAGCTACCTGCTAAAAGCTAACCCATAACAGAAACCATTAGCCACCACAGCTAATCCCCTACAGCTACCTGCTAAATGCTAAACCATAACAGAAAACATTAGCCACCACAGCTAATCCCCTACAGCTACCTGCTAAATGCTAAACCATAACAGAAAACATTAGCCACCACAGCTAATCCCCTACAGCTACCTGCTAAATGCTAAACCATAACAGAAAACATTAGCCACCACAGCTAACTACTATAGCTACCTGCTAAAACCTAATCCCTAGGACAAAACCATTAGCCACCACAGCTAACCCCTACAGCAACATGCTAAAAGCAAACCCCAAACAGAAAACCGTTTGTGTTGTGGCTAATTCCTACAGCTAACTGCTAAAAGTTAACCCCTTACAGGAAATCATTAGTCACCACCGCTAACCCCCTACAGCTACCTGCTAAAAGCTAACCCATAACAGAAACCATTAGCCACCACAGCTAATCCCCTACAGCTACCTGCTAAATGCTAAACCATAACAGAAAACATTAGCCACCACAGCTAATCCCCTACAGCTACCTGCTAAATGCTAAACCATAACAGAAAACATTAGCCACCACAGCTAATCCCCTACAGCTACCTGCTAAATGCTAAACCATAACAGAAAACATTAGCCACCACAGCTAACTACTATAGCTACCTGCTAAAACCTAATCCCTAGGACAAAACCATTAGCCACCACAGCTAACCCCTACAGCAACATGCTAAAAGCAAACCCCAAACAGAAAACCGTTTGTGTTGTGGCTAATTCCTACAGCTAACTGCTAAAAGTTAACCCCTTACAGGAAATCATTAGCCACCACCGCTAACCCCCTACAGCTACCTGCTAAAAGCTAACCCATAACAGAAACCATTAGCCACCACAGCTAATCCCCTACAGCTACCTGCTAAATGCTAAACCATAACAGAAAACATTAGCCACCACAGCTAATCCCCTACAGCTACCTGCTAAATGCTAAACCATAACAGAAAACATTAGCCACCACAGCTAATCCCCTACAGCTACCTGCTAAATGCTAAACCATAACAGAAAACATTAGCCACCACAGCTAACTACTATAGCTACCTGCTAAAACCTAATCCCTAGGACAAAACCATTAGCCACCACAGCTAACCCCTACAGCAACATGCTAAAAGCAAACCCCAAACAGAAAACCGTTTGTGTTGTGGCTAATTCCTACAGCTAACTGCTAAAAGTTAACCCCTTACAGGAAATCATTAGTCACCACCGCTAACCCCCTACAGCTACCTGCTAAAAGCTAACCCATAACAGAAACCATTAGCCACCACAGCTAATCCCCTACAGCTACCTGCTAAATGCTAAACCATAACAGAAAACATTAGCCACCACAGCTAATCCCCTACAGCTACCTGCTAAATGCTAAACCATAACAGAAAACATTAGCCACCACAGCTAATCCCCTACAGCTACCTGCTAAATGCTAAACCATAACAGAAAACATTAGCCACCACAGCTAACTACTATAGCTACCTGCTAAAACCTAATCCCTAGGACAAAACCATTAGCCACCACAGCTAACCCCTACAGCAACATGCTAAAAGCAAACCCCAAACAGAAAACCGTTTGTGTTGTGGCTAATTCCTACAGCTAACTGCTAAAAGTTAACCCCTTACAGGAAATCATTAGCCACCACCGCTAACCCCCTACAGCTACCTGCTAAAAGCTAACCCCTAACAGAAAACCATTAGCCACCATAGCTAATTCCTACAGCCACCTACTAAAAGTTAACCCATATCAGAGAAAACATTAGCCACCACAGCTAACGACTGTAGCTAAAAGCTAATCCCTAGGAGAAAACCATTAGCCACCACAGCTAACACCCTACAGCTACCTGCTAAAAGCTAATCCCTAACAATTAACCACTGCCATGTAACAGTTAAGTAGTAAAACATAAACACTAACATCTTCGACTAAAAGCGAACCCCTACCAGCTAACAGCTAATTTTTAAAAGCTAACTGCTAACTCTTAACAGCTAACCACTAACTATGTGAATCCACTGCAGTCGTCGTTGTCACCCCCTTCAGTGTGAGCGCACCATAACAGCAACAACTTGTTCCTTAACCTCTTACACCCTAAGGGGGTATAAATAAATTTCTGCCTGACAAAAACACACAAAAGTAAATCACTTATAGCCTCACAGCTATTAGATTTAAGAAGAAACTTTTGTTACGTCTGTAAAGGTTAGATGTCATAGAATGGTTTTCTGGTGTCAGCACCATGGTAGCTTTGACCCTTCCTGAAATATTAGGGACAAAATACAAAATATTTTGCATTTTTTGAACCTCGCCAAAATTTTCTTTGAAATAAACATTGCAAAACACTACCAAAATATTATTTATAGCACAAAAAAGTAGTACAGACTTTCAAATCTAAATGTTGTGTAAAAATATACCAAATTTGGACTCAATCAGATGAATCATATTTATTTTAGAATGGTATTAGTGAGAAATTTCTTAGGCGGAGAGGCCATTTTGGCACATTTATCCATAAATGTCACCAAACTGTGCCAAATGTGTTTTTTACATCAATACTGGGGGTTTGTTAAAATTACGAGGTCACATAGCAGCTGGACCCACCGGTGGGTCCGTAGGGTTCTACGGGTTAAAACAACTAAAACCTAAAAGCCAACAGCTAACCCCTAAAAGCTAACCACTAGAAGCTAACCCTTACTAGCTAACAGCTAACCCCTTCCACCTACCAAACAAAACCTACCAGCTTCTGAGAGAAGCTTCTGACTACAGTATCCGTTTTTTCCCGCGTTCACAAACACACCATGAGCTGTGAGTCCCAACCTCTGTTAGCCAGGCCTCGATCCGAGCCATGGCCACGTCTCTCTGCTTCTCCAGGGCTGTGATCTCGTCCCGTAGGGCCTGAAGCTGGGCCTTTTGGGCCTCCTTCTTCAGCCGCTCCTTCTCTTTGCTCAGCTGCTGCAGCTCCTCCTTCCAGCGCCGCTGCTCTTCACCCTGCTCCTCGCTGAGCGCCGCTAGCTTCCTGTTGTTCTCCTCCAGCTCCCGGGCCAGTCTGAGGACGGAGTAGATGGATCAGGCGGGTTTGTCCAGTTCTGGTTCTGATACTATAAAGTCGTAGGTAAGCGGCCGTTCTAAACTTTGGAGTTCTGAATTCTCCCGAGTGGTGCCCGACTTTACACCAGTGAATAAAGCGAATGTGATGGGTCGATTATCAAAAGGGCGGGATTGTTGCGGCGGAAGGTTCGCAAACTGTTTGGTTTGTGGGAAGCATCCTGCTAACCAGTTAGCAATTTAGTGCTAGCAGTTTCCCAATGGGAAATCACATTGGGACCAAGTAGCACTAAATTGGTGACGAAACGACGCTTTCAAGGAACGCTATGGACAGCGGAAACATGCAAGAGGAGGAGAGTTTAGTGTCGGAGGTCGTGGATGAGTCTCCTCCGTCTCCTTTCAATGCTCACAGACCTCAGTGTTCTGTTGTTCAATAAAAGTACTTTTTTTGGTCATTTGAGGCGAGAACATTATACTTAATGCGTCACTATATAGCCCATATTCCGATTTAAAGCGTAATTTCCAAAAAAATTTCCCAAGTGGAGAGGACCGCGGCAACCAGCAGAACTCCAAGGTAATGGCAGCCGGGGCTGATGTCAGCCCGTCTGCAGCAGCCGGGGCTAACGTTAGCCTGTCCGCAGCAGACGAGGCTAACGTTAGCCCGTCTGCAGCAGCCGAGGCTAACGTTAGCCCGTCTGCAGCAGCCGGGGCTAACGTTAGCCCGTCTGCAGCAGCCGGGGCTAACGTTAGCCCGTCTGCAGCAGCCGGGGCTAACGTTAGCCCGTCTGCAGCAGCCGGGGCTAACGTTAGCCTCGGCTGCTGCAGACGGGCTAACGTTAGCCTGCAGAAGATAACGGAGAAGAAAATAGATTTTTTTTTTTTTTCAAATAGAAATTTTCAATTTGGGGACAATATGGTCTGATAAAGACTGCATTTATATACACGTTTAAGCCAGAATGACATTTAAAATTTGCTTCCCTACGACTTTAACTGTCAATGGTAACGGTTGATGCTTCTCTTGTTGAAGAGAAACGTGGAGTGAAAGGAGCCAGAGGGATCCTGTCACTCTTCGGTCGTTTTCTCTGCGTTCTCTATAACCTCAGACATCCATCGGACCGCTTCCTGTTTTCAATCAGAACTTGGAGCTTCTTCTCTGGGAAGGCAGAACCAGCTGGAAGGTTTGTTTCATGGATGAAAACACAAGCAGGAAGCTCCTCACCGGTTCCTCTCCTCCTCCGCTCGGCTCCTCTCTGACATCAGCTCCCGTTTCTTGCTCTCAAAGTTCTTCCTGGTTGCCTTGGAGTTGTTGAGCTGCAGCTTCACTCTCAGAGATTCCAGTTTCTCCATCAGAGCCTGAAACAGAATCAGAGTGAACCTCCCAGAAAAACCTCCAAGCGGCTGGCTGAAGCCCGCGGCTCGTCTGGATCACCTGGTGCTGCCGCCTGCCTTCCTCCACCCTCTTCCTCAGCTGCGCTCTGTGCCTTTCCTGCGCCTCCTCCTCCTCCTGCTGCTCCTTCTGCAGCTGCTCGTAGCGCTCCTTCAGCTGGGAGCTGTACTGGAACACGGCGGCCGTCTGACTCTCCCAGTCCGCCTCCGTGTTCACGCCGGACTCGGTCGTGGTTCTGTCCGTCTGCACCGCCTGAACTTTATGGATGGAGTCTGAAAGGAGGTGGCAAAAATTAAACAGAGGAAGACGACGTGGTATTTAGGAGATGAGAGCAAATCAAACTATTTCTAACATCTCTAGGGTTTGAATTTCTTAATGAATGTCAGAATCGGCTTTTATTTCTCTAACAGCTAAAGTTCATTTTCATTCCTTAAGCTGTTTTTAGCGCCACACTTTTTCCTTCCACTTCATTTTCTTTTAATCAACTCAAGCACTTGAATGAACATCTCTGTTGGATAATGTCTCCCACCTAGTGACGTTCTGAGCTGAGCCAAGGCTTCGAGGCGTGATTCATTTAGGGGAGGAGCCAAAATGGATGAGGTCTGAAGCCTCGCTACCGTGACACCGGGTGAACGCTTCAGGAAGTGGTTCAAAAAGAATTTGGACAGCCATTTAAACAGCCTCAGTATTCAGTCAAGATGTGGGACTTTGTAGGAGAGTTTGGATCAATTCTAACAATAGATTGGTTGGAAAAACAACCAATCTAGTTGGTTAAAACAATTTCAGTTAGATCAAACAATGTAATGATCAAAATCTGAGCAAGCCACTGGTTACAGATGTAACTTTAGTGTTAAAGGCGCAACAGGAGATCTTGGAAAAATGGTTCCAGCGAGATATATTTTAGCCACATGGTAAAAATGCATCAGAAAAGATCTGATTGCTGTGTGATGAACTGTTACCACTGCTAGTGGCGTCAGCTGTAAGACATTGACTTTCATTTCTCAGGTTGATGGTTTAAGTCCCACGTTAGACTTTTGAAGTTGCGATAATGCTAAAGTATTTTGGCTAATGTGACTAATTTGTTGTGGTTTGCCTCAGTAAAAACACTGTGGAAAAAATATAATGTATGAAAAAAAAATGACTAACACCTTTCATTTTGCTCATATCTCCCGATTTGCACAAAAACTTTCATTGTCTGCTGGAGCTTATTTGACAAAAATTCCATATAAACTGTGTAAATAAAATAAATTGTTATATTCTGAGACATTTTACACACAAAAAAACTTACAAAAGATTTTATTCTACACACCAATCATTTAGAATTTCAAAGGAAAGGAAGGGAAAATGACAATTTTATTACTAATTGTAGTTCTGCACTCCACCAGTAGGTGGTGACATGTTCATATGAACCTTCGTGAACTCTCTGGATGGTTCAATGCCTCATGAGGCTTCATCTCGCCATCACTACCCCCCCCCCCCCCCCCCCCCCATGCATGAAGCTGGTGCTGAACTGGAGAGCTCCTTTAGTGACAGACTGCTGCACCCTGAATGCACCACGGTGCGTTATCAAAGATCCTTGATAAGTACTGTAAAAATGTCCATAAATCTATATTGGCTATTTATTCTCCAGGTGCACAGTTTGATATTGTTAAAACACTTTACAGTATTTTATTGTTTATATTCTAACTGTTCACTACTATGTTATTCTTATACATTTTTTTAAGGTCCATACTGGTGTTTTTTCTATAATCTTTTTGCTGCTGTAACTCCAGAATTTCCCGAATGTGGGACAAAAAAGGGATTTTCTATTCTATGAAAAATTAAATGAAAGGACAAAATGGTCGACAGCCACATTAATCAGCAACAACCTTTAGAGGCGTAGCATCCTGATGGCCAACTTTATCATTAAAGTCTACTTCCTGAAACTCTGTTTATAAAATAAAATATCTTTTTTATCTTTAGTAAGGTGACCTTGAGTGTCCAGAAAGGCGCCGCCAAGCTAGGTATTTTTTATTTATTCTATTTCGAGAATAAAGTCATAAAATTATGATAGAATAAAGTCGCAACAACAATAGTCATAAAATTACGAGAATAGTCGCAAAATTACAAGAATAAAGTCGTAAAATTACGTGAATAAAGTCAAAACGAGAATAGTTATAAAATTACGAAAATAAAGTCATATAATTACGAGAATAAAGTTGTAATATTAAGAGAATAAAGTCAAAACGAGAATAGTTATAAAATGACGAGAATAAAGTCAGAAAAAAACAAGAAACAAGTTGTAGTTTATGACAACTCTTCAAAGAAGTCCTTTCTTCCCTAAAATGAGGAATGTGGAGCATCATGTGAAGTTCCACTTTGGCATCAGTTTGACAAATCAGGAAATCTTTTAGATGGTGGTTGTTTTCCTCTCCACTGTCGCTACAAGCATGCTTAGTGGATTGCAGAAGAATCAATGAGTCGATGCAATCAGCTGGTTTTCCTTAGAAAGAAAACTTTGAATCAATCTGACGGGATGATCTGGTGAACTGGAAAGTGACCTGAGATTACATGTTTTTATTGGCACTATAGGAATAAATTTAATTTAAATATTTATTATTGATATAAATAATTTTCAAATAAAAACAAAATAATCAAAAATTATTGGAATTTTCTGAATCTTAATTAAACGAAGGAATTTTGGGATTTAAAAAATTAAAATATGAAAAATAAAAAGTGAAATTTAAAATTTGTAAGGGATTGATTTTATTTTTACTGATGAACAAACTGTAAAAGTTTTGATTTTATTTAGTTTGATGAGAGTAAAACGTTTCTCACCGCAGGAGCCTGAAAGTTTCGGTTTACTGAAAGTTTCTCTTTCTGTCGCAATGAAACCAAACCGAGCTTCAAACCAATGAATCTGTTTGAAAGAGCGAGATTTTTACCGTAAATCGTCATTTTATCCATTTCCAGCTCCACATCTGGGTCTGAATCCTCCTCGCTGTTAGTGAGCGTTTCCCAGCTAGCATCCATGCTGCTAGCTGAACTGCAAACACACACCGAGACTTCCGGGTGACGACAACAAGCCGCTAGTGACGCGTCAGCTTAGTGGAGGTGACAGAGCTTCTCTGCTGATTTGGTACAAAGAGCATTTGAAGGAAAAAAAAGTATTATATGAAAGTATTTTATTCTGAGGTAAACAACATCCTCCGCTGCTGATGACACGGACGTTTGTGTTTCCCTGAAAACGATCCGGCGGAAACATCGACCCTTGGAACGTTAGGAGACTGAGATCGTCTATAGATTTGACGAGTTCACACTAGTTCCAAGCAGGATAACTCGGACAAAAAGTGAACGTGTTTGACATTAAACGTGGTTTAGATACTCTTGGCTGGTAACCATCTTATTTGCTGAAAATACACTCACCGGCCACTTTATTAGGTACCCCATGCTAGTAACGGGTTGGACCCCCTTTTGCCTTCAGAACTGCCTCAATTCTTGGTGGCATAGATTCAACAAGGTGCTGGAAGCATTCCTCAGGGAGTTTGGTCCATATTGACATGATGACATCACACAGTTGCCGCAGATTTGTCGGCTGCACATCCATGATGCGAATCTCCCGTTCCACCACATCCCAAAGATGCTCTATTGGATTGAGATCTGGTGACTGTGGAGGCCATTTGAGTACAGTGAACTCATTGTCATGTTCAAGAAACTAGTCTAAGATGAATCCAGCTTTATGACATGGCGCATTATCCTGCTGAAAGTAGCCATCAGAAGTTGGGTACATTGTGGTCATAAAGGGATGGACATGGTCAGCAACAATACTCAGGTAGGCTGTGGCATTGCAACGATGCTCAATTGGTACCAAGGGGCCCAAAGAGTGCCAAGAAAATATTCCCCACACCATGACACCACCACCACCAGCCTGAACCGTTGATACAAGGCAGGATGGATCAATGCTTTCATGTTGTAGACGCCAAATTCTGACCCTACCATCCGAATGTCGCAGCAGAAATCAAGACTCATCAGACCAGGCAACGTTTTTCCAATCTTCTATTGTCCAATTTCCACGAGCTTGTGCAAATTGTAGCCTCAGTTTCCTGTTCTTAGCTGAAAGGAGTGGCACCCGGTGTGGTCTTCTGCTGCTGTAACCCATCTGCCTCAAAGTTCCACGTACTGTGGGTTCAGAGATGCTCTTCTGCCCACCTTGGTTGTAACGGGTGGTTATTTGAGTCACTGTTGCCCTTCTATCAGCTCCAACCAGTCTGGCCATTCTCCTCTGACCTCTGGCATCAACAAGGCATTTCCGCCCACAGAACTGCCGCTCACTGGATGTTTTTTCTTTTTCGGACCATTCTCTGTAAACCCTAGAGATGGTTGTGCGTGAAAATCCCAGTAGATCAGCAGTTTCTGAAATACTCAGACCAGCCCTTCTGGCACCAACAATCATGCCACGTTCAAAGTCACTCAAATCACCTTTCTTCCCCATACTGATGCTCGCTTTGAACTGCAGGAGATTGTCTTGACCATGTCTACATGCCTAAATGCACTGAGTTGCCGCCATGTGATTGGCTGCTTAGAAATTAAGTGTTAACGAGCAGTTGGACAGGTGTACCTAATAAAGTGGCCGGTGAGTGTATATATATATATATATATATATATATATATATATATATATATATATATATATTTTTTTTTTTTTTTTTTACTTTCATTGCTCTTAAAGAATTGTGCGTCTTGGAAAGAAACCAACGACTAAAAACTTTGTTAAACTATGTTAAAAGAAGCCAGTTTTTATGGAAAACCCCTATTTAAACATTAGTCTCATCCTTATTTAGATGATTTTAGTTTTTTTATCCTTTATGTTCTATATTATTATCCTCTTTATACATATATTTTATCATCTTTCTTGAATGTTTATCATTTTTGATATGCATAATCACTTGACCGTAATCATATAGGTCATGACTTTAATAAATAAATAAAAAATGTAAAGAGCGGTTTGAAAATAGTTTATTCAAAACGCTAAACTCTTAATAGAAATATTTATTAAATAAAATAGGTAAAGAAGGAAAATACATATTTTAAAAAAAATCTGAATTGCAAGAGATGATTTTGATTTTATTTTAAAAAGCTAACATTTCTAAAATCTAACATTTGAATAGGAAAAAAATGTAAATAAATTACCAATAAATAAATACAAAATCAGTAAAGAATTATTTTTTTTAATATGATTTTCCCTGTTATATTTCTAGAACTAACTTCTTTCCACAGAATTTCTGAGCTAGGCATGAATCAGAGATCAGAGTGAGACATCCTGTTCATCCCGCCCCTCTCTGGTTCCCAGCGGGACGGTCACATGACGCAGCAGGAGAACCTCCTGACTCCCGCTCCTCCTCCCTTCCTGTCAGCTCCCCAGCCCTTGGATCTCAGTTAGCAGCAGGACCATGGCGGACACATCCCGGGACCCCCCTCCGGACCGAACCGACTTCCATGAGGTGGAGGACGGTGAGGACCTGTTCCCGGAGCCGAGCGCCCCCCAGGAGGTGAGGCAGGAGGGGGGATGCAGGGGGTGATGGAGGGGGGAGGCCGAAAGCCGGGGCAGGGCGGGATGTATCCGGATGTCAGCGGACTCTCCCCTTCAATCTAAGCTCTGAAGCCGGGAGTTCGGTTCGGTTCGAGTCATTTTAAGATAAAAATGGCGCTTCTCTCCTGGGATGGAGAATAAACGGTGGCCTTCATTGGCACAGGTACAGGAGCCGATGAGGGTCTTTATTCTGTAGGTGTTCGCAGGCGGTCAGGTGACGGTCACAGGTAAACAGGGTGGTGCCTTCAGGGGGGGCAGGGAAAATCCAAACTCTGTGTGCTCCTCACATCTGGGATTTTAGACCAAAACTAAAGAAAAACAACTTTGCAGAATAAATAAAATGAGGCTAACGGTTATTATGGGATGTTTGACAGCAGGGAGAGGGCAGAAATCCTCCACATTGATCTGTGTTTTGTTGGTTTTAGTCCAAACCTGCTGATATGAGGAAGTGATAAAAGTCTGCAGGTTCCTGATGGTTGGTGTAAATAAAGCAGAAAATGAGGCAGTTATGAGATCTTCATCATCATCATCATTTGATTGTTTCTAAACTGTTTGGTGCGTTTATGGAATCAAAGAAACATCCGATTCTTCAGTGTCTAATCTTCGGATCACAGAGAACTGGTTCTGGTTCCGGTTCCTGGTGATTTAATCGGCACACAGAGTTCTTCATTACAGACCCAAAAAGGTTTTATTTACTTGAATCAACTTTTATTCTGCCTTAGAGAATTGATCCGAGCTCAGGTCCGGGTTCTGGTTCTGCTTGGTGCCATCCGTGCCGGGTTCTGCAGTAGATCCCTTCCTGTAGTGGAGGAACCGGTTCTGACAGAGAGGAGAACGTGATGTGTTTAGATCGGGGTTTATTGGACCCTTGGTGTGATTAAGGACCAAGCATCTGGAGAATGCTTGGATTGGACCTTCAGAACCAGGACTAAATAGAAAGAAGGTCTGCAGAGGTCCGATCTCTGGTTCTGTTGGGTCTTTTTCTTCTCTGGTTTTTAATCTAAAATGTTCTGGTATGTTTTAACCCTTCGTGGACCGGCTCTACTCATCCTTAGTTTCTGGGTTTTCTTTTTTTTTGGTCTGTTTTGCTTCTAAACACTCGGATTCGCCTCGTTTGGGCCTTAGTTTTATTTTTTACTGCTGAAATCAGACATAGTTCCCTCTGCATGGTTCTGATCGGGATAACCGGAACATCCTCGGGTCCATTTCCTCCTTAAATCCACCTTAAAGTCGTAGGGAAGTCATATTTAAATGTAAAATCATTCTGGCTTAAACATGTATATAAATGTATTCTTTATCAGACCATGTTGTCCCAAAATTTCTATCAAAAAAAAAAAAAATCCTGTCTCAAAATCTCTTTTTCTTTGTTATCTTCTGCAGGCCAGTTAGTTCTACGTCAGCCTGAACACCTAAATTCAGCCAATCATATATCAATCACATTTTTCGGTCATAGCATCTTGATTCATATGTCGCAGCTAAAATACGCAGCGGTTGAAACCAGAATCCTTTCCTTTCCCACTGAGTTGCGTCCCAGTGTTCACGGGGATGGACGTCTGTGTCTTCGGCAGGCGTAGAGCTAACAGAACTGGCAGCGTTGCGAGGCAAGGGCTCAAACATGTACGGCTGGAAGCCTTCTACACCAAACCAAGCTTCTGCCGCCCTGGCGTCCTCTTCCACAACATCTTCGTCCCCGCTTTCCTCCACTAAATAAAAAATGGATGACGGAGGAGACTCATCCACGACCTCCGACACTAAACTCTCCTCCTCTTGCATGTTTCCGCTGTCCATAGCGTTCCTTGACAGCGTCGTTTCTAAGGCACCAATTTAGTGCTAATTGGTCCCAATGGAATTTCCCATTGGGAACCTGCTAGCACTAAGTTGCTAACTGGTTAGCAAGATGCTTCCGACAAACCGGCCACAACCAAACTTGCTTGTGAACCATCCGCCACAACAATCCCGCCCCCTTGATAATCGACCAATCACATTCACTTCATTCACTCGTGTAAAGTCGGGCACCACTCGGGAGAATTCGGAAATGCAACATTTGGAACAGCCGCTTCCCTACGACTTTAAATAACACTTCATAACCTATAAGTATTAAATAACCAGGAGACGTGACAACAGATTCTGATAGGAATTGTATTCGTATTCAGATCAGAGAAGTTAGAGTTACAGAAGGCAGCTGCTCACCTCTCAGGAAGTGGCCCCCATTAACAGTTAAAAAGGCATTTTATTCATCTTCAGTCTGCCACATCATTACATCATCCCCGTTAGCAGATGAGGAGACATCCATGGCTCCAGCCTTATCAAAATATTACATTTTGTTCTTAGCTGAAGGACGCCGCTCTCCTTCCATTTCCAAATCTTTGCCACGTACAGAATGAAGATTATAACGATATATCTGGACAGAGGAACTGTTATTATTAGATAAACTATTGTGGAAAACATCAATTCCAACTCGCAACAGGCAGCTAATATTAAGGTGTAATAAACTCACATCAATGATAATGATCCTACCAGAATAAATAATGCTGAGATTATTAGACAGAATCTGTTTTAATCTGGATTATTTAGGCCTGATTATCTACGCCTGCCGAAGACACAGACGTCCATCCCCGTGAACACTGGGACGCAACTCAATGGGAAAGGAAAGGATTCTGGTTTCAACC